AAATGTCAGCATTTTTGACCGGTTGACAGGTCGCAAAACTCAATATTCTGGTATATCAATTATGTTTCAATAGTTGCTAAGAAATCAATAAATAACAATACGGGAAACACTTTTCCGGCCTAAGCCGGGAAAGTGTTTCTCGTATTGCTGAATAATTGGAACTAAAAGACAAACATTTAACAGGTATTTAACCGATCGCAGAAAAAATAGTATGCGTATTTCGGTGGAAAAGCACATTCTCGGCCGACAGTGTAACACCGAAGGAATGTGTCACTTTTCCACCTTAATACACAATATTGTGAGTATATATTGTCTTTTATTTGATTTTATGGTAAGGAGAGAAATCTCGAAATCTGGAAAAAACAAGGAAAAAAAGGTACCGGGTGTCCAGTTATAAAGTACTACCACCTGTAACTTTTTCATGTATGATTAAAAATAAAAAAGTTACAGGTGGTGGTACTTTATAACTTGACACCCTGTACATGGAATAGTGGAAACTGGTGATGATACTGACTTGAGTAGTGAAGATGACAGTAGCGATGGTGCCCATGAGTTTTTTATAAATGAAGTGAAGATAAAGTTACCTAAAAAAGTGCAACAAGATTGTTGATGATAATATTGATGTGTAAAGTAGGTGATGTTTCTCAAAAAAATTTGTTTGTTATAGTTAAAGCTAAAGGTCAAGTACCATTGTTAGGTCTTCAGCCTGTATTAGGTTAAATTTATTTGAAAGGGTAGATCAAATTAAAATCAAATATTCCGAACATGTGGAAACCTCCTTAAATAGTATTGAAGACATGATTTAAAAATTCTCAGCAGTGTTTGAAGGGATAGGAAGATTTCCATCAGTTCATCAGATTACATTGAAAAATGATGCTGTACCAAAAATTATTCCTATAGGTACCATCGTCACCAAAAGTAACTGGGACACAAATAATGCATAATAATCTCCTGGACTAATTCTACTGTCATTCATTTCAATGCATTTAATGCATAGTTTATTTGACAATAAATTTCATATAATAGGACAAGAGCTAATGTGATGCTGTCCCAGTAGTAGAGTGCTTTCACAGCTATCAGACCACATACCCACCTCTACCATGTAAAACCCCCCTCCAGCACAGCCATCATACCACTGTAAACCCCCTTCCCTGAAGCTGACTCAAGTGCCCCCAGACCTCTTCTACGTAAATGGTTCACCAGATTCACAAATTTTGGGGTTGGCCCAGGTCAAATTCTAATTTCATATCAAAGGAACCGATTTTCCCACGCTATCAAAAAAGTTCCCATGCTATCGAAAAAGTTCCCACGCTATTGAAAAAGTTCCCACGCTATCGAAAAATTTCCCACGCTATCGAAAAAGTTCCCACGGGACCCGGATTAACAGGTCAAATTCCCAAAATTTCAAATCAAAGGCTTCAGCTATCAAACCAATACCCACCTCTACTCTTTCTTGAAAATTAAAGAATATTTAAACAATTCCTGAATTTTTATTCCTCAATAGTGTTGCAAACTCCATGGGATGTAGAAGCTCTTGAAAGGATTCAAAATTAAAAGCAGACCGTTATTGTTAATCGCTTAACGCTTAATTGCTATCAAAGTTATATTGCAAAAATAGTAAAGTTATTAACAATCACCAATACTGAAAAACTCAAAAATGAATTGTTGTTCTTCTATAGACAATGTTCTAGCTCATATGAATGGTGAAAAATTACTCTCAGATTTTACAAGCGAAGAACTATTGAGAATTCCGTTAGATTATTTATTGAAACATGCAAAGCCCTTTGAACTTTTGGAATCGTGGGGTAAATTACCAATAAGTTACAAAAATAACTTCATTCTTCAAATTAAGTTACCATGCCATATTCATCACAACAGATCAGAATGGAGAACTCACTTTGATGGTCCACCAGATTCACAAGAAAAATGTTATTATTGTAATAAAATGATTTTATCCAATTATGTATGATTATTTCAAATAAAGCCAAATCGCTTAAAAAATTATTGCATTTTTCTTTCCAAAGTCCTCCATCAAACCAGACGACCTCCAAATGATGGTCATTTAAAGTGCAATGAATGAACTCGATAAAATGTATTTTTTACAGACAATGAAGTTGTTTAATTATAAGATAAAATTGAAGACATATACGGAGTGCAGAAATTTTAATGGATCTTGTTTTCATAAAAATGTTCACGGCCATTTAGGTTCAACGATCATCGCATTTTTACAGACAGTATAATTATGTAGGGAGTACGCGTAGAATAATTTATATCTCAAGACCAGATTTAAATTGCATGCACTTTAATGGAATTACCTTAAGAATACAGGGTGGAAAACTTTCAATGCATGGGCTACAGAAATCAAAATATTACTAAATTTTTATGGATTTATTATATGAGGTTTTAAACATGTGAAATTTTTCAATGACTTACAAACCAATTTTATCCAATTAAACTTTTATTTTCTATTGGTGTCATACACTTTTACTTAATATATAGAAATATATTTGTTCTAATAAAATGGCTTTCGAGATTTGCAAAGCAAAATAGTTATTTATGTAACAAGTTGTAAAATGAGCATGTTTTTTACACACAATGTGTTGGACCACTTCTCATTTTAACACTATATTAGAACACACTGTTTATTTTTGACGTTTGTGTTAGAATGAACCATTTTTGACAACTAAAATCAATGTCGAAAAGATGACATTTTGTAACTGAATTACAAAAATTAGTTCCCACCATATTTTCGTTTTTAAAATTCTTTGGGGGAATTTTATCATTTAGTGTATACACCCTGTTTAAATTGAATAAAAAAAATCAAAAATAACCATTTTTAAGTTACAATTTTCCAATAAAAGCGGACTAGAAATCTTCCAGTATTCAGTTGCATAGTTGCATTTAAACAATAGTCCAAGTAATAAGTTTAAATAATAATAATAAGTCTAAATAAATAAAAATAATAATAATAAGTGTATAAATAAATATTAATCCTAAGTCTAGGATATATTTTTTTAAAATTTTTTCAGTTATTAATTTTTTAATCGAGAATGTGTTCCAAACCAGCTGCATTTGAGTTGGCCCAAATGTGTGCTAACAAAATCATAATAAAACAACATTTGATAAGAAGAACCGAACAGAAAAACGAAGATGAAATCGAAAAAGCCATCGAATCAATATTGACTCCAGATCCTAAATTCAACCAGGATCTGGAGAAATTTTTGTGTCCAGAAGAAAAATCTCAAATCGAGATCAACCAGGATCTGGAGAAATTTTTGTGTCCAGAAGAAAAATCTCAAATCGAGATTATTGACATTTCAAGTCCAGAAAGTCCTGCTAATGAAGATTATGATGAAATGGAACAAAATGAAGAAATGAACGCCGAAGCTGTCATCATAGCTGAAAAATCTTTTCAGCTAGATGAACTAAATCAAACTGAAAAGCAAATTTTCCAAAAAATGGAAATGTATTCGAAAAAAGTTTTATACTGTAAGCAACTTCTAAATATAATTAATAGCAGAAAACATTTAATTGAGGAAAATTTCAGAAAAGAAACCGAACAAAAACATTTAATGGAACTAATTTAAGCTTATTCATATACTTGTTATTATTATTTTTATTATTAATTATTTAGACTTATAGAATGTAGGTAGGTAATTATCAATTTTTTAATTGATTAATTGATTAAAGTTTAATTTTAAAAATAAATGCACTATTTAATTTACCTTACACTTGTGTTTCAATATTCATATCCTCAAGCAGGCTGCTATAAAAAAAATCACCACTAACTATGATTATATCGAAACATTCACCAACAAACAACGCGGACCAAAGATCGACTTTAAATAAAAAATTAATTCGAGGTAGGACCATCGAAATTTTGTCTGTGCCCTCGAGCCTTGATAATCAAGATTGGTGCAGCAACGAGTTCATACTAATGGATTTTTCAATAACTCAATAATGAAATAAAAATTTAAAAAAGTGTTTTATTGATTTAGCCTTCTATAATACATTTGATTTTAATATCCAAGAATTAAATGAGTTATCCATTCCAAGCCATTTAACATACACTTTGTTTCCTTTTCGTTTTAAAATTTTTTCAACCAAATAAACGTCAGGATTTTGAACCTTTTGTAGTTCTTCTGTATAAAATCCACCTTGAATTTCATCTTGTTTTTGATCTTCCAAAATATATGTTGTAGGATTGGTCAATTTAATTTCTTTGATTCTAAATATTTCGTTGGACCAGTTTGGTGTGTAACCTTTGGAAAATAGTTCTCTATATTTACTTATTCTCACAAAGTCACCGATTTTGAATTTTGAAGTTCGAATATCGATACTTTTTATGTGTTTGTAAGTGTTTGAAAATATTTCCTTTTCGTTTTTCTTAGATATTTTAGACGGTTCAAGTCCCGTTGTAGAATGCTTTGTGTTATTGTATTCAGTCACTATTTTTGGTAAAATATTTAACCATTTGTAATTTCCTTGTAAGCTGAATTGTTTCCACATTTTATTTTTCAATGTTCTATTTACTCTTTCCACAACACTAGCTTTTAAATTTGAAAATGTGCTGTAGTGATTAATTTGATATTGCTGCATGAGTTTTTGAAAATGATGACCATAAAATTCTCTTCCCCTGTCTGTATGTAAATTTCGTGGGGTAGTTTTTGCATTGATGAGAACTTTTTTCATTGCTGCTGTCACATCCTTGCTCGACTTTGATTTAATCGGCTCCGCCCATACATACTTTGAAAACGCATTAATAACTATCAGAATATATTTAAATCCTTTATTGAACTTAGCATAAGGTTGCATTTCAACCAGATCAGCCTCGAAGAGATCATTTAACCCTTTAATAATCACCCTTCTTCGTTTATATTTTCTTCGAGCAGTTTTGTGTAATTCATTAACTACTTGATCCTTAATGGTAGTCATTTTACATTTTTTTTTATCATGGTAGACAATTTAGTTAGTACTGATCATGATTTGTTTTTGTAGCCTCATTTATTAAATTTTTTTAAATAATAGTTATCATAATAGCTTTTGTAAGATTCCACCCATTTTTCCAATTTATTAATCATGATTTTTTCATCTGTTTCCTTTAAATATTCAAATATTTTGTCAATTTCTCCATTTATATTATCAAGACAATCTTTAATGTGGATTCTTAGATATTTAATTGTTCTATTCTCGACATCACCTAATCCTTCTTCTTCTATTTTCTTCAATTCTTCATTTAATTTCTTAATTATAGTTGGAATTGTAGATTGAATAGAAAATATCAACCGTCTTTTTGTCAACGATACTTCCTCCAGGTTTTGTCCATTGAGAAGATTATTTACTTTGTCTAGTTGAGCTGTACTTATATTTTCAATTTTATCTTTCACTTGTGCAATTTCTGCTTTGAGATTTTCAATAATTATTTCTTTAATTTTGGTTCCCATAGTTTCATTTATTTTATTAATACCCACATTCAATTTTTTGTCCTCATTTTCAACATATTCTCTTAATAACTGAATATCTTTTTCAATTTTTTCAACTTTCTGATCAATTTTGGAATCTACATCAATTTTTAGATTTTTTATTTCATCAATTCTTTTACCTAAATTTAAAATTTCCTTCGAAATATTCTTGAATTGATTTTCTAGGTCGGGTAACAACTTTAGTAACCAGTTGTATCTTTGTCAATTGAGTTTCAAGTTTTAGTATTTCTTCTTTGTTTGAATTTTGCATTAAGGAAAACTTGGAAATTTCTGTTGAAATATTATTAAATTGATTTTTGAAATCAGTAATTCCTTTAGTGTTGATTTTAATGTCATCAATATCAATTTTAAGCTGTTCTATTTCTTTTTTGCCTGAAATTTGCGTAAAAGACAATTCTGAAACTTGTGATAAAATTGTATTTAATTTTTCTTTTAATAATTCAATATCCTTGGTTCCATATTTTCTGATTTGTTCAACTTTTTGATCAATTTTGAACTCTACGTCTTCATCAACCTTTAGATTTTTTATTTCATCAATTTTTTTTCCCAAATCTATAACTTTCATTGAAATAATCTTGAATTGATTTTCTAGGTCGGTAATCACTTTGATAATCGATTTTATTTCAGTAATTTCGGTTGTGAGTTTCAGTTGTTCTTCCATCTTTGAATTTTGTACAGATGACAATCTCGAAATGTCCAATGAAATATTATTTAATTGATTTTTGAACTCAGTAATTTCTTTAGTATTCATTTCAATGTCATTTATTTTAATTTTAAGATTACGTACTTCTTCTTCACTTGAACTTTGTATCGATGTTAGCTTTGGAATTTGTGTCAAAATTGTGTTTAATTGCTCCTTTATAAATGCGATATCGTCAGTATTTTTTTTTCGTAGTAGTGCATTTAAATTTGAAGTTCTGTCCAAGCGCTTTATATTTTTATCAATATTATCATGATTATTTTTGAAGTACTTTACTTCTTTCGTAACTCTATCATAAACTTTGGTTGAAAAATTTTCAAATTTTAATTTGAGATTATCTTCTATGCTTTTTTGAACACTATCGATTTTTGATGTTTCATTCATGTATGTTTTTAATTTCGTTATTTCGGTTTCAAAATAATTTTTCAAATCAATAACATCATTATGATATTTTGTTATTGTTTCAATATCACCTTCAAATTTTGTTAGCTTTTCATAATTTTTTTTGTTGATGCACTACAATCAATAATGTCTTTTTTTAAATCATTTTCAAAAAGCTTAATTTTTTTTGCAGTATTTTCGATTTTTACATCATTTTCATTCAACCTTTTATTAACATTAATCACATCCTGTTTTAATCTATTCTCAAAATCTTCATTTATTTTTTTTCCAAAATAAGTTAGGTCTTTTTTCAAGTTGTTTAAAATTGTATTTTCAACGGTAGAAAAATCGACATTTTCTAGTGACGTTTTATTCATTGAATTACGTTTCGAAATATGACGACCGAATTTATCAACTGTCATGATTGATTGATGATAAACAACTGTAATGTTTATGTAGTTTTTGATATTTATAATATAATATTAGCCTCTTTTAATTCCTCAATAATAGATAAAATTTCATTATGATGAGCAGTATTGCCTGCATTAACAGATGCTACCAAAAAACGCAGTCTATCAACAAGTTCGTTTACATCATTCCAGTACACATAGTCTGTGTTTGTTTTATTTATTTTTAAAGTGAATCCTTTACCTTTAGTAACTTTACGAGTACTTATTCGATATGGGGCAATAGGTTTTTCGAAAGTAGTTGGTCTAACGGGATTTATTGTTTTAGATTTTGTAATTCCTTTCTTTTGAAGATATGGACCTATAATTGTAATATATTTCGTAGATGCGGTTCCTTGAACTTGTTCATTGGGGTCATTATTTCTACGGTATGCATTTGTTATTTTCAAAATGTCCATATAATTATCCAAATCTTTGGGTTTGAAGCCAACAGGTTCCTTTTTAAAAAGTAATTCGTATAAACCCACAGTACCCTCATAAGTTCTACCCTCTACTACAATATTTTTACCAACTATTTTCACGGGTTTTTGTGTTAGACCCAGAAAAAATTTTTCACCATCAATATCATGAACTACTCCATAATTAGGATCGAATTTATGTTCTGTATCCCTTACGCTTCCATCAATATAGGACCTAGGTAATTTATGAAAATCTGACAAATACACTTGGTAAGATGGGGAGTCTATATAATTTTTAATTGATTGCTTAGTTTGTTCCAATATATCGGACAAATTTAAACTTTCACTAGTACTACCTTTTGGAAAAGGACTAGTTTCAGCTAAAACAGTTGTTTCCTGTATAGAAGGAAATTGACTAACAGAAGCAACACTAGTATCAAAAAATGATGGTATCTCTGATGGTAAAATGGGAGTTTTTCCTGTTTTTCGAACTATTCTCTGTTTGCTTGGTGTTGAAGTTTCGTATTTTTTTTTTGGTGTTACAAATTCTTCTTTTAAACTAAAGGGTTCTTCTTTCAGTACTATCGGTTCACCTATAGTAGAAATTAGTTGTTTTAGTGGTTCTGTTATTGGTTTATAGGTTTGTTCCAATTGTGATTGTGTTGTCGTGCTTGCTAGTTTCAAATTATGATATTTTTCTCTCACTGATTTTCTAGATTTAATTAACTCCTTAGCTAAACGTTCATCCATCTTAGACAAGTTCTTAATAAAAACAAATAGTGGAAAATTGCACTTTTATAGATATATGAAAGTGTCAAATTTATTTCTATATCTACCTGCATTTATTGCACAATCTTTATCAATTAAAAGAAATCCATATGGGTCTTCCCAACAAAAACTGCACATATTCTTGAACTGCTCAAATGTCATATCCATTATGCAATGATCATTATATATATGTTTCATACTCATAGAATCTTGTTTGAATAAAATTAAAAGATTTGTATTTTCACAGATTAAACGTTTGAGAATTGAAGAGTAGCCTTGAAATATAAAAAAACAATCAGTATTCTGATGTCTACATTGCGTAAAATAATCTCTTATAACACTTTGGTTTTGACAGGGAATGTCATCGAAAATTATAACTGAATTTGGTTTTATATCTTGTGGAGAAATGATACTTTCATCATTATCATATTCGTGATAACCGATTTCTTTTATAGGTTCCAAAAGTTTTTTCAAGTATTCATATTTTGGTTGATTTAATGATTTTGAATAAACGTAAACATTTTCAAATCTAATACCATTAGGATGTTCGAGTAAAGAGAGCATTACATTAGTTTTACCAGAACCACTACAACCGACAATAAGCCCTCTTTTAGATCCTCCACAAAATAAATCACCATGTTTTCTAAATTGTTTTGTTAATACTTTTTCATCATGATTAGTTACAGGTAAAGAGAATTTTTGCTTTTCAATCCTCATGTTTTAATATTACTGACGTCCTTCTCCTAAGTATGGAAGTATTTATAACAAAGTCACGCTGAATTTTGATTCAGTATCGGATTAATCTCTTTAATGATCATACACAATATTACTAAAAACCAGAAACTTAAAAAAGGTTCAGGTTTAGTTAACAAATTAATTAATAAGCTTCCATTTGAGCTTCATATACCAGGCGGATATAACTATTGTGGCCCAGGAACTGAGTTAGAAAAAAGATTAGCTAGGGGTGATAGTGGTATAAATCCGTTGGATGTTGCATGTCAGGAACATGATATAGCATATTTTCAATCTAACGATTTAGCAAAAAGACACGAGGCTGATCAAATTCTAGAGAAAAAAGCTTGGACAAGAGTAAAAGCTGCAGATTCTTCATTCGGTGAAAAAAGCGCTGCATTGATGGTTGCTGGTATAATGAAAGGAAAACGCAAGCTTGGAATGGGTATGAAAAAAATAAAAAAAAAAAAACGTGTTATAAAAACACCCAAAAAAATTGGTGGTTTTTTACCATTTTTACTTCCTATTTTGGGTGCCATCGGCGCCTTGGGAGGCGGTGCCGCGTCGATTGCCAAAGCAGTAAACGATGCTAAAGCATCCAGACAACAGTTGGAGGAACTTCAACGTCATAATAAAGCTATAGAAAACCTAACACAAGGAAAAGGATTGGGTTTTAAAAAAAATAAACGGATTAAAGGGAAGGGATTATACATTAAACCATTTAAAGGTGGATCCATTGAAAAAAAAAAATCCAAAAAAAAAAATTCAAATAAAATTACCACGACGAGCACTTAGCAATATTGATTTATTGAAATATATTAAAAAAATCAAACTACCATATTTTAGAGGTGTCTTTATGCGTGATGATCTTCCAAACAAAATTCGAAAGGTAGAATGTGGTATAGTTAATTTAGATAGCAAACACCATGCTGGTACTCATTGGACAGCTTATATCAAAAATAAAGATGTAGCCATATTTTTTGATAGTTATGGCAACCTTAAACCACCTCTTGAACTGGTGAGATATTTTAATTCGAATGGTAAAACAAATGTATTTTACACCTATGAAAATAAACAAAAATATGATTCAGTCAACTGTGGACAACTAGCACTCTCTTTTCTGCAAAGTAATATATAAGCTTGATGTTCTATTAGGAAAAAACATTATCGTACAAGTTCCAATGTCTACAACTATTGCGATATCAGGAAACGATTCTGTATTATCTGCAGATTTTAATCCACCAATATATTTAGATGATGACAAACAATACTACTTGGGGCTAGCAGATTTTGAAACTTTCATGACCATTCCTAATATTGAATCAGGTCATAATAAATTTTACATAGATGATAAAATAATAACTATACCGGATGGAACTTATGATATTACTGATATAGAAACATACTTAAAACGCGAGATTACAGGCATTTTTGGAAGCGAAAATGTAGTTTTTTTTTTGCTACCAAATGTTAATACCCTTAAATGTAATATAATGTGTAGTAAACGCATCGATTTCACAAAGGATGATTCAATAGGGAAATTATTGGGTTTCAAAAATAGATTAGTTGAACCCAATACATTAGATAATGCAGACTATGTTGCAAATATAACTAAGGTGAATGCAATTTGCATTGATTGTAATATTTGTGTGGGATCATTCAACAATGGCAAACCTGTTCATATAATTCATCAATTTTATCCAGCTGTAGCTCCAGGGTATAAAATAGTAGAATCACCTTTACCCATATTATATTTTCCAGTCAGCGTTAAAGCGATAAACAACATAACCGTAAAAGTTGTCGATCAGGACGGAGATCTTATCAGTTTTAGAGGTGAAACTATAACTGTTAGGTTACATTTAAAAACAGATAGTATTTGAAATGGTTATTAGATATAATAGAAGTTCCATTATCCAGTCTTTACCTTTATTTGAAAAAAAATCTTATAAAAGAAAAAAATCTGAAAACAAATTCATTAACAAGGAAAACGTGAACCGGTTGACACGGGAAAATCATCAATTTCTCACGTCTTTAGGATTTAAAGTTTTAATATAATGGACATTTTAAATGTTAACGAAAAACTTTTCGTAGACAATTCAATTGTTAGTTCCGAACTTCACACCTACCAACCCTTTATCTCTTCAAAGTTTGATTACAATGATGAAATACGAATACCCATTCAAGAGCTTGATACATTTACTTTACCATCAGAAAGCTTACTTTACATTGAAGGAAAATTAGTCAATAATGAAGGAACCTATACAAAAAGGTTAAGATTTGTTAATAACGGTATTGCTTTTCTCTTTAGAGAAATTCGTTATGAGTTAAACGGAGTCACTATAGACTCTGTGAGAAATGTCGGATTAGCTTCTACTCTAAAAGGTTATCTTTCACACAATACTAATGAAAGTCTAAAACTACAGAATGCAGGTTGGTTTCCAAAAAGACAAGAGGCCGAACGAATTTTGGTGGATGATAATGGAAAGTTTTGTGTTTCCATACCACTAAAAATGTTTTTAGGATTTTTCGAAGATTATAAAAAAATTATAATCAATATGAAACAAGAATTAGTTCTTATTAGAGCAAGTAATGATTTAGATGCTGTTTTGTTTAAAGATGATTTGGAGACCAAAGTAATTACTGATGAAACTCCAATGATCTCCTTCGATAAATTGTATTGGAAAATTCCACACATAACAGTAGACATACCTCAACAACTGGCATTATCAAAAATACTAGAATCTAACAAAGAAATCTTTCTAGGATTTAGAAGTTGGGAAATTGTTGAATATTCGTCTATATCAGAAACAACTAGACATACCTGGCCAGTGAAAACGACAAATAAACTCGAATCTCCTCGTCATGTTGTAGTAGCCTTTCAAATAGATCGGAAAGGGCAAGTTAAAAAAGATATGAGTCAGTTTGATGATATTGATCTAACTAATATAAGAGTATTTTTAAATTCTGAACGTTATCCTTATCATGATTTGCACTTAAATTTCAAAGACAATAATTTTTCTGCCTTATATGAAATGTTTGCAAACTTCAGACATTCCT